CGGCCTTACTGCGAGATCTCCTTCAAGACTTGGGGTGGCAAAAGCAACAAACACCACGTGAGTGTATGGCATTGCTCTTGCAAAATGACAGATCTGAGCTGAAAGCCCTCGCAAAGAGACTCTACACTGGCACACCGAGCACAAAAGACATTTTAGAAAATACGTTTGCCTTTCTGCACCGCAAAGCAGCACTACATGTGAACTCCAAAATGGCAGATGCGACCAAGTATGCCTACAACATTGTGTCCCCATATCCAGAGACGGGTGGATGTCCCCAAATCTTGCCAGACAAGACTGACTACATGTCGATTCAATCTCCTTCAGGTGTTGCTGCCAGGGTTTGGGCACACAGGCATCTCTTCTCTCCGCAGAAGACCCCTTTTCCATGTCCAGAAGCAGTTCCCCTACCAGCGCAGATCATGCAAAGCAAGTTTCGATCGGCTGGGCCGTTGAGCCAACAGAGGTCCGCAGCAGCAGCTGCTTATTTGCTGGAGGATGAAGGCAGCAATTGGCAAAATGCAGATTGCTGCTGGGTGGGCAGCTGGGTGTGTATTGTTGTGTGCTTTTCTGATTTGGCTGGCTAGTGGGAATGGGTTCCTTTTTTGAACATTTGCTTTCAAGCCAATGAGAACACCCGAGGTAGTCTCTTCATTTCTGGCCATATGTACCGACACAAGCAGACTGGAGTTTTAGCAATGAGCTTGGGGTACCGCAAGTGGGCAGCTGTTGGCTTTCCCCTGGAATCTCTGCAGATTGGGCGCAAGGACATGCGTCAAGATGTTTATCGTTGCTTCATGTCAAGCTGTTTTCAAGAATGCTTCGAACTTGCCCGTTTAAATTTGCTGTCCTTGTCAGAGCAAAGGCAACAGTAAAACCTAGACTTTAAAGATGTTCGGGATTGACTTTGTGAGTTTGCTGTGGGTTTTTTGCACGCACCATTTTCTGTTTTTTCTGTGATGAGAAAACACGGCACTTTGCGCAGGAATATGTTGTGGTGGCACCATATGAGCAGGTTGAGACTCCGGACTGTTTGGTGTGGATGCATAATTTCAATGTCGAGGGTGATTGGCTGCACATACCGACAAAGCACATGATTCGAGCATATGTCCCTCAAGCACTGGTCATTGAAGACATTCACTTTGCCTGGGAAGTTCAGAACAAGGAAGGTGAGCCTCTGTTGGAATCTTCCATCAAGATCGGCGTATGGCTCAGCGATGCAAACTTGAAATTCGTGTGTGCCAAGTTGAAAGTGCCACTCCCAGTGAAGCCTCACGGTTCAGGCAAGAATGGCAACGTGATCAAAATTGACATTGCAATGGCATTGGTCAAGTTCATGTACCCGAACGAATCTTTAGAAGAATGGAAGAGGATGGCCGCAGCCTTGACATTTCGCTCGCCTGCAAAACTGTCGGACAGGGAACAGGACATCCTCAAATTAGTTGGGGAGCTAGACCAAGAGAACAGAGAAGCACCAGAGTTTCAGCGCATAGCGAGATTGGCCAAGCAGAAGCTCAAGGAGTTTGAAAAGACAAGCCTGCAGAAAGAGGTACGGGAGGAAGTGGAGGAGGTCCGGGACAAGGTTCGCAAAGAACTTACGGAGGAGGCAAAACAAAAGAAAGTTGATGAAGCTGCTGTGGGTGAAAAAGGCAAACAATTGGAAGCGCGCGGTGAAGCTGCATCCTCATCTACAAGAAAGCCTTCTGAAACGCCACCTTCACTCAAGGACTTCCTGAAGCCTGGTATGCAAGGTGAGAAAATTTCCATCACGCGAGATGCTTCAAGCTATGGATATCGAGCATACTACCCAGGCTTTGTTCTTTAAAAAGCGCGTTCAAACCATCTTAAACCCCGTCCCATTTGAAATTTAAACGTTTTAGGGCGCTATTAAAAAGTTAATACACTTATCAGTAGAATAGTAAGTAATCTTAAATAGCACACTGTTTTTTGGTACTTTAAACTGGGCTTGGGGCGCGGCCCCCCCCACATTGCTACAGGTGGTGCAGCTGATCAGAAGTCTTTCCAGCGCAGATGGGGCACTTCCACATGCCAAAGTGAAGCTGAAGCATTAGAGCAGGTTCTCAATTTCATCTACACCCGATGGAACGTCCGACATCCCAAGAAACAATATACAATGAATCTTTCCTTCAATTATTTTGATGTTTTTTCCCCAAGGAACCCGCAAAATATTTGTCCACCTAAAGTGTTCCACTACCATTAAGCTACCACCGTCGACCAAAGCCTTTTGGGTGTAATTTTCATTTCGTGAGTTTGCAAATGACAAATTACCACCAAGATCAACATACCTATAGGATCCTACAGGTTTCTTTTTCAAATCAAGTGGGGGCGCAACTTCGGCGTTTTAGAAAATTACATTCGGTTCCTTGCCAAATTTTGGTGGCTTGAAAATTGCCACACGTGTTTCATCATAAACATTTACTAATCCGGGCACACACCGATCGCCTTTGCTAAGGTCTGCACGTGCAGAGATCCAAAAGTACGTTGAGTCGTTGAAGACGACGTCAGCGTAGCCAGCACCGGCGCTCCCCGCTGAAGGTAAAAAGGAAGATGAAGAAGCACAGTGGGAAGAAGGGGCTTAAACAGAATCTGTTAATATTGGCTGGGATTTTGTTGAACCCTGGTTCTTTGCCAAAAGTTCGTCAATCCACTGACTCGGTTTAATTTCAGCAGCTCGGGGCTGCCTATCTTGGGAAACCATTTCTTTTCACAACACTTTTCTAATTGGGCCTCGAAGACACCAAGAGCATATGGTTCGTATGGTCTCTTGTATTCCCACTATGAATCATCAAGAAAATGGCCCCAAAAAATAGCATTGAATCGGAAATGATTATACCTTATTTTGGCCTTATTTATTTGAGGTGATGGTGTCTGTTTTGGGGTTGTTTTCTAGGGGGGGGGGGGTCAAGGGGGGGGGGAATGGAACCCATGAAAATAGCATCAACTAGCATCAAATATCATCAAATAGCATCAATTAGCATCAAATATCATCAGATATCATCAAATATCATCAATTAGCATCAAATATAATCAGATATCATCAAATAGCATCAATTAGCATCAAATATCATCAGATATCATCAAATAGCATCAACTAGCATCAAATATCATCAGCATCAAATATCATCAGCATCAAATATCATCAGATATCATCAAATAGCATCAACTAGCATCAAATATCATCAGATATCATCAAATAGCATCAATTAGCATCAAATATCATCAGATATCATCAAATAGCATCAATTAGCATCAAATGTCATCAGATATCATCAAATAGCATCAATTAGCATCAAATATCATCAATATCATCAAATAGCATCAATTAGCATCAAATATCATCAGATATCATCAAATAGCATCAATTAGCATCAAATATCATCAGATATCATCAAATAGCATCAATTAGCATCAAATATCATCAGATATCATCAAATAGCATCAATTAGCATCAAATATCATCAGATATCATCAAATAGCATCAATTAGCATCAAATATCATCAGATATCATCAAATAGCATCAACTAGCATCAAATCATCATCAAATAGCATCAATTAGCATCAAATATCATCAGATATCAAATAACATCAATTAGCATCAAATATCAGATATCATCAAATAGCATCGATTAGCATCATATCATCAGATATCATCAAATAGCATAGCATCATCAGATATCATCAATAGATATAGCATCAAATATCATCAGATATCATCAAATATCATCAGATATCATCAAATATCATCAGATATCATCAAATAGCATCAACTAGCATCAAATATCATCAGATATCATCAAATAGCATCAATTAGCATCAAATATCATCAGATATCATCAAATAGCATCAATTAGCATCAAATGTCATCAGATATCATCAAATAGCATCAATTAGCATCAAATATCATCAAATATCATCAAATAGCATCAAATATCATCATATATCATCAAATAGCATCAATTAGCATCAAATATCATCAGGTATCATCAAATAGCATCAATTAGCATCAAATATCATCAGATATCATCAAATAGCATCAATTAGCATCAAATATCATCAGATATCATCAAATAGCATCAATTAGCATCAAATATCATCAGATATCATCAAATAGCATCAATTAGCATCAAATATCATCAGATATCATCAAATAGCATCAATTAGCATCAAATATCATCAGATATCATCAAATAGCATCAATTAGCATCAAATATCATCAGATATCATCAAATAGCATCAAATATCATCAATATCATCAGATCAAATTATCATCAAATATCATCAAATATCATCAAATAGCATCAAATATCATCAGATATCATCAAATAGCATCAATTAGCATCAAATATCATCAGATATCATCAAATAGCATCAATTAGCATCAAATATCATCAGGTATCATCAAATAGCATCAATTAGCATCAAATATCATCAGATATCATCAAATAGCATCAATTAGCATCAAATATCATCAGATATCATAAAATAGCATCAATTAGCATCAAATATCATCAGATATCATCAAATAGCATCAAATATCATCAATTATCATCAGATATCATAAAATAGCATCAATTAGCATCAAATATCATCACATATCATCAAATATCATCAAATATCATGAAACATCATAAAACATCATCATGTATCATCAAATATCATCAAATATCATCAGATATCATCAAATATCATCAAATATAATCATATATCATTAAATATCATCAAATAGCATCAAATATCATCAAACATCATCAGATATCATCAGATATGATCAAATATCAGCACATATCATCAAATATCATCAAATAGCATCAAATATCATCACGTATCATCAGATATCATCAACTATCATCAAGTATCATCAGATATCATCAAATATCATCAGATATCATCAAATAGCATCAATTATCATCAACATCATCAAGTATCATCAAATAGTATCATGTCGCTCATGTTCCAACGTATTTCAACATCTCCAAGGATCCCCTCCGTGATGTTCAAGGTCGGCAAAGCATAACTGCTGAAGGACAGGCCTGGATTGCAGAGACCATGGTACCTTGGCAATTCGCGATCAGCCCACGTCCAAAATCGGGGGAAATGAGCAAACAGCGAGCGTATGTGTCACTATTATCACTAATTCGATAATGGTTCTTCATTCATTTGTCATCATTTGTCATTCCTCTTCTTTTTCTTTGTCTTCTTCTTCACAAATCATTGATTGATTACCATTGATAATCATTGATTACCATCCCCATACTGGGCGAGTGGCGGCCCCTCACCATCACCATGTGCCAAGTCGCAGCTCATCGGTCTGATTACAGAATTCCGCGAAGCCCGGGGTCTCTCGGAGCGATTGCTCCAACCTGGCTGCATGAGATGGGGACCATCAGCCCCCACCATGTCTATAGGAAAATCCCAACCACAGTCATGTGGGAACATCTATATAAATATAAACATATATATATATGATTATATATGTATAGAATGTTGCATGCAGAAAACACATGTGGATCCCCTAAGATCGCCTAAGCCTCCTGATTATCAACGTTGGTAAGTGCAGAAGCATCACATGCCAAGACACCTGGAGATTTGGCTCAAAGATTTTGCCGTCAGAATCCCTCTGTGTCCTGAAAGGCAACTCACCGAATCTGACCGTCTAACCCCAATTGACAGTGCCGCAGTGCCGGGGGGGAATCCAGACTTCGTGCCGTGTCCTGCCCGTCCGGCCAAGGAATATCCGATGAAGAGGTCTTTGGTCGAGTACGCGTTGGCGCTCGAAGCTTGAGCTTGGAGTCGCCGCACGGCACCTGCCACGGCACTCTGTCGTTGAAAAGGTGAAAGTATGTACAAGATTGTACAAGTAACTTCTAAATACTTAAAATATCTTTAAAAGATCTTCATTGATTTATGAGTATGCGAAAATCACACATCACCATGGGATTCATGTGGAATAAAGGGCCAAACATGGCTCAACTACTGCAGTTGTGAAAGTCTTGGTAACTACTGCGGCCTGTGCTACGGGAAGCTGTTGCGCTGTTGAAGGCAGCCCGATGCAAGGAGGACTCCACATCACTGATCAGAAAGGAGTCGAAATTGGTCTCAATCCTGGCAGCTGATGCCATGTTGAACCAATGTTGCAGATTATGATCTCCCAAAAAATTGCAGGTGATATATAGCTGGTGCATCTATCCCGACATTTGCAGGTGATGGGGATGTTCAAAATCGAAATGGCACAGTTACCAACTGCACTGTGCACCCTGGGTCTCGAAAAAAATCATGGCAGTCCTGAACGGAAGAGCGGCAAGACCAATGCTCACGACTAAAAGGATCAGAGACCAGCCGATGCCGACGCACATGAGCGGCCTGCAATGCTGTGAGTTTATGACCAGCTCGCTTTGATGGACTCAGAACGTGCCTTGTGGCAGAAAAAAAACTGCAGCAACAGGCTGGAAAGGATTCCTCCTGAGCAAAAAACATAGAGGCTGGAGGAACAAAGGCCCCACTTGGAATTGCTCCGAAACCACCTGAAAAAAAATTGATCAAGCAGAAATTCTTCGCAAACCAAGCTTCTGTATCTTTGAGTCTCTCTTGAGAGTCTTGGCTGCTACTTTCTTCAACAAGCTCCATCCTGAGATTTACGGAAACTCCACGCAGAAAAAAACAGACTGCAACCGTACAATGCGAGGACCATCGAGGACCCAACGGAGCAACTTCTGATAGCTTCACTTCCTGGACCTGGTAGCTGCTGCTGCTTCCGCCGAATTCGGCTGACCTTGGCTGTTCAAACATCACAGATTTTTTTTTCGTGCAGAAGACTTGAGAGACAAGAATAAATTTCAAAGAAAGTTCAAGGAAGAACATTATGCAACCATTGCAACATAATGCAGAAACCAAAATGAAACCTCAAAATGAAAGAAATAGATGTGGCATGATGTGGCACATTTTGGGGAAATTCCATTCTTTGTATTTCTTTGTCCCATCCCAGTGCCAAAGTGGCTCGCCATATGGCGATAAATCGGCCTCCCAGACCATGACACCAGAAACGCTGCAGCGAATGACAGCCCTACGTCACTGAGCCATACAGCGGTCAGAACGGTCAGAACGGTCAGCATCTGGCTGTGAAACATGTACGAAAAGGACGAAGTTGGTCCTCTTGGAAAATGCCATCTAATTCTGGACCCAAGTTTGACATCAGACCGATCAATTCCTCGGGTCAAGGCTCTTTCGAGCCATCTCCCACGGTTTTATGAAAAAAAACCAAGCTCTCCACATGGTGCAGAAGCGGCAACCAGTGGAGGTTGTATGGCCTCATGGGTCGATGTCGATGTGGATCCCGTTTTGCAGCTGGGGAAAAGGTTCAAAAAGCCGCTAGCTCACCTTTCACGTACTTTAAATATGTTGAAATTCTTCAATGTGCCTTTAAACATGTTTTGATTATGTTTTGCAAATGTATTATATATATACATATGTATTATGTATATATATATATACATATGTATGTATGTATGTGTGTATGTATGGATGGATGGATGGATGGATGCATGCATGCATGTATGCATGTATGCATGTATGCATGCATGTACAAATGTATGTGCGTACGTGCGTACGTGCATACGTACGTACGTATCTATGTACGAATGTATGAACGTATGAACGTATGAATGTATATTATATTAATGTATGAATGTATGAATGTATGTATGTATGAATGTATGAATGTATCCATGTATGAATGTATGAATGTATGAATGTATGTATGTATGTACGTATGTATTGACGTATGTATGTATGTATGTATGTATGTATTTATGAATGGATGAATGTATGTATTTATGAATGAATGTATGAATGTATGGTGTATGTATTTATGAATGGATGTATGAATGTATGAATGTATGTATTTATGAATGAATGTATGAATGTATGTATTTATGAATGAATGTATGAATGTATGTATGTGTGTATGCATGCATTTATGTGCGTATGTGCGTATGTGCGTATGTGCGTATGTGCGTATGTGCGTACGTACATACGTACGTACGTACATAGGTATGTATGAATGTATGAATGTATGAATGTATGAATGTATGAATGTAATATGTATGAATGTATGAATGTATGAATGTATGAATGTATGAATGTATGTATGTATGAATGTATGTATGAATGTATGAATGTATGAATGTATGAATGTATGAATGTATGATTGATGAATGCATGAATGTATGTATGAATGTATGAATGTATGAATGTATGAATGTATACATTATTGAAGGAATGTATGAATGTATGAATGTATGAATGTATGAATGTATGAATGTAGACATTTTTCATTATTGAAGGAATGTATGAATGTATGAATCTATACATTATTGAAGGAATGTATGAATGTAAGAATGTATGAATGTACGAATGTATGAATGTATGAATGTATGTATGTATGAATGTATGAATGTATGAATGTATGAATGTATGTATGTATGAATGTATGAATGTATGTATGAATGCATGAATGTATGAATGTATACATTATTGAAGGAATGTATGTATGTATGAATGTATGATTGTATGAATGTATGAATGTATGTATGTATGAATGTATGAATGTATGTATGAATATATGAATGTATACATTATTGAAGGAATGTATGAATGTATGAATATTCAATATTCGTTTTTCATCAGCGCTGACTGAAGGTCTTCCCTCGTCTGAGATGTTGGCCAAGAGCTTGCAAGCAGCATTGGCAAGAAGCATCAACGTGTCAAAGTACTCCGTGGAAAAAAGATGGGTCCTCCAGGCCAGTCATGTCATGCTGGCAGACTCACCGAAGACAGGCAATGAGCCACTGATCTGGGTATTGTTGGAACAGAGTGTAAAACCATGCATTCGTGGATATCTCCCATCCATTTCCCATTCAAAATCCGTTGAGGTCAGGACAGGAGTTGTGGGTCATCCCACTCATGATCCATCACATCTTTGCCCCTGTCGAGTCGGTGTACAGGGACTCGAGTCTGATGGGTGCTCTTTCTTTTTCCGGGCGCCCAAAATTCTCAGGAAATACATAAGAAAATAACATAAAATACAACAAAATACCATAAAATACAACAAAATACCATAGAATACAATAAAATACCATAAAATACCATAAAATACCATAAAATACCACAATATACCATAAAATACAATAAAATACCATAAAATACCATAAAATATAATAAAATACTATAAAATATCATGAACATTCGTGAAATACTATAAATGTCCACATCGCAGTCCCTGAGGCTTCCACGACCGCGCCAATCTCTTGGATAGGTCCAGGGCTTGCGCAGCAATCGCTTTGCAGCGCCTCTCGGCTGGAGAGTATGATGATGTATGATGCTCCAATTACTTATAATACATCAATATTTGATAGATGTTGATAGATGTTGATAGTGTTATGTCATTAATGATGTCACTTTTTGGGTCCATTTATGTGTCGTCCTTGTCTGAAAATTGGACCCTTCTCAGGCTGGAGCCCTTGCAGTCGGCTCAGCCAAATTGCTACACCGGTACCTCCAGTTGCGATGGCTGGTGGAGGCCAGGAGATGGATTCATGGGCGATTCATGGGCGATTCATGGGCGATTCATGGGCGATTCATATCATTTCATAATATGTTACCCAAGCTGGTTATGACATTCACAGGGCTAGCCATGGTATTTTCCATGGCCCATTTATCGAAATAGATGGTTTACCGTTCTTAAAAATGGGTGGATCTTTCCATGGCTATGTCAAATAACCAAATGGTAATAATAGTCGTTTAATGTTCAATTCCACACTATTAATAGTATATCATAGTAATAATATGATAATAATGTATAATCATCTCATCTATGAATATGAAAAATGTCATTCACTATGCAATTGAGATAATGAAAAATATCGACAGGTCAGCATGTCTGGGCCAGCTGCGATTGGAGCTGTCCGACAGAGGAACACTTTCCTTGGCTTCACATCTGATGTCACATCTTGCCTCTAGACTTGGGTGATTTAGGTGTGTTCCCAAATTGGGGAAGCCAACGGAAACCAACTCATTTTGATACATCCCAACCAAAAACTTGAGGCAAATCATCCTATCAAACTCCACAGATCCGAAAAAAATCTTGAATCTTCTCTGCCAATGCTCTGGTTTGATTACGGCAAAACGGATCTGATTTCATACTTCAAGTTGACCAGAATCATAGGATTCAATAAGTCCTCAAACATTCATTTTTCTCATCTTTTTCAACCCATCCACAACTCCAACTCCACATCCCCATTCGAAGCATTCGAGGCTCTCCAGTGTCCTCAAATCGACGCTTTCGAATCGCTTTGTCCTTGACAGCCTCGGGCGTCGAACACGTCGAACACGTCGAACACGTCGAACACGTCGAACACGTCGAAGGCTCCGTCGCCCAGCAGTTGGCATCGCCGCGCTGAGGCTCCAGCATTGAAGTCCAAGACTTTTCGGTGGAGCACCTGGGGATCTGATGGGATCTGTTCGACTACCAAAACTACCAATTAAAGGACCATGTAAAAGCCTCGGTAAAAATCCTCATGACAAAGATCCACCAATCATTTTTTTACATATACATATGTATATATATATATCATATGTATACCATAAATATATATATACATACACCATATACAAATACCATATATACATACATAATCATACATATATATCTATACATATTTATATATACTTAGACATATACATATTTATATATACTTAGACATATACATATTTATATACTTTTATAAACATACATAGTATGTACCTGTTCATGTGCTTCTGTCCATCCTGGCTGCAACCAATCACTGAAAAACGTCTGGGCCTTGCCGATGATGTGCCCCCAGTTTGCAGTTGCCTCCGTGTCCACCACCTTTTTTGGCTGATCATTGAGGGGTTACCATCAAATGGTAGCATTTTCATCGCAGATTAGCATAGATTGTCACTATGAACTGGGGGAACTCCCGTCCAGCAAGATTTCAAGGCTCACAAAACTATCTGGGGGTAACATATGGGTTCATATGGGTTCATATGGGATCAGGGATGGAACGATGCAATCAGCCATCCGCCAGAAATTACCAGATTTGGCAAAGAATGGCAAAGATATGGCCGCAATCCATTTCATAATTTTCGGCCATAAATTGTCCTGAACCAATTGCTGCGAATGGGATGAAACAAAAATTCTGCTGGTTGTGTGTACTAAGTTGGTATCCTTGAAATCTCTTGAGTCTCCAGGCGCTCTTCACGCGTCTTAGCTTTGCCATTGCCTGCGTCCACTGCATCGTAGCAACCCCAACTCGATTGATGTACTGAGAGTATGGGTCAAATATCAGACCCCTCTCTCGCCACAATTTTTGAATGTTTCTGATGTCACCATAAGACTTTCAAGCTGCAAGGACACCACATAGCAAGAATTTGGGGGCCATGACACCCCCCCAAAGATTCTCCACACGTCACTGCCAACGCGGCCCAACCTCCTTTCGCAGCATGTCTTTCTCCGTCATTCCCAGATCTGTGTAGCCAAATGGGAAGGTTTCATATGCTTCATGGAAATCCCATGGCAAAATTCCACAGGAAAAAAAGGTCAATTTCAGTTTGTCCCAAAGGTCCATGGATGTTCAATTCTTTTCTCATCGGCCTTCCAGACTTCGTTCGGAATTCTTGGAATAACTCGACCTCGCCAAAAAAAAAATGGAGTTCTGAATCGACATGGTAACGTAACAAAAACTAAAAGAAACATCATTGATTTCTGGAGTGGCCCCCCCAGTTCAGCAAACTAATGTCTTAGTTCCACAACAATTGCAGTGATTGCAGTGCCAAGCTTTCGCCACTGGGCTCAACACAGATTGTTGCTTCCCGCTGACACCTACGGATCTGTTCAGGGTTGTGCCAAATCCAGCAGGATTTCACGAGTCTGCTTGACTTGTTTTACCACATGACCGAAGCAAAAGTAACAACATTCAAATTCGCAAAAAATATCAACATCATTCAACATTTAT